TCGCAAACAAACCTGAGACCGATCAGGCCATTGCATGGAAAATTGTTTTCCAGGTGTCTTTGAAAGAACTTTGGAACGTTTGGTTCACCTGACTCTCCTGATTACTCGTTCCTGTTTCTCATAGTGATCCCTCTCCTCAGTGCCCACCTGAGCATTCCTTAATGTCCAGTCATGGTATTGGTGGTTTCTATGCCAAGGGTTATTCTTCGAACCCATTTACTCCCATGGCCTGAACTATTAACCTCTATTTAAATACATTTTAAATCTACACAATGTGGTACTGACCTCTTCCAAGCTCTGGCCTCAGGTCTCTAGCAGACTGCAGGGCATTGACACTTGGGCCTCTAAAAGTTTCAAATTATTTCTTTCAAACCAGATACATTTTTTCCCCCATAAGTACCCCTTCTCAAAATCTCTGGAAACCTCTCAGGGTCAAAACTTTCAAGTTTGTTGATTCTCATCCTCCTGCATCGAACCAGGGTCAAGTCCTGGGCACGTCTCCTGAGCAGGGGGTGGAAAGATGGATTGCTGCGGGGGGAGGGTGTTGTGGTTGAGGTCGTGGAGGCGGTGGGGTTTCCAAGTGAAGGTAATAATAGCTGACACGTGGCCTAAGAGGGCCTTCCTGGCCCTTTCCCAAGTAGTTTTCATATATGAAATCACTTAATCTTTACAACAACCTGTGTGTGAGGCAGGCGTTAGTGATAACCGCGTCTTACAGATGAGAAACGGCTGAACTTGCCCCGTGATCAGCGCACGGAAGGCCTCACCTGGGTTGCTCTGCTTGCTGGGAGGCCGGACCACATGGCCTCCGTGCCTCCGATGTGAGGGGAGCAGGCACGTGTGAAGAGTAAACCTCATCCAGGCAACTGCCTCGTCCTGTCAGTTAGGATTCTCCAGTCTCCTTCCTAGTTCCTCAAACTTCCTTTGCTGCAAGTCCTAGAGTTCGAGTCCTCATGACTTCTCCCTGGATGACACAGATACTAATGCATTAGTATCTTTATTTTTCTCAAGCTTACCTCTCCAAAGCACTACACCCATCTTGTCACTCTTTTATCAAAAAATTTCAGTGGCTTTGCCTTTAAAGGATAAAATTCAAACTCCTTAGCTGTGGAGTCAAGGCTTTCCTTGAGCTGGTCTCTACATAACTGTATATTGCCTTCTCTTTGAGCTCCTCCTCACATTGGAAAACCAGATGTTGAAAACCCGGGGATGGAGAGTCGTTAGGGCGGTAAAAACAGATCTTATTCACAGCTGTTGTAACTGGGCTCGGTTCTGAGCACAGCGCAGTCTGTGGGGGTGCACAGTAAGGAGCAGGCTGGGTGTCAGTGGGTGGAAACTCTCAGGGGAAGCATCAGGGGTAAGGAGTCTTGCTGAAGACAGGCTGGGGTGATCAGACATCACCCTGGGGCGACGCAGCAGGATGAAGTATCTGATGAGATACTGAGGCGGGTCAGATGTGAAGGGCGGGGGACTCTTACCAGACTGATTTAGCACGGCTCTCGCTAAAACTAGAATTTACAGGGAAGCACACATGTGGGTCTAAGAAAAGATTTGGGAGCGTGAAGAAGGTTTGTTAAAGCAAAGAAATCTTTGTCACATCAAATAGCACGGTGGTAACAAGGCCCCAAACACACCCACCTCCGTGCCCTGTGAGTTTGTTCACTCACAGTGTCCCCATGTCCTGCTCCAGCTCCTTACCTCGCATCAGTGAAAATCGGAGTCCAGGAGGGCCTTGGAAGCCACCTTCAGCCTCCCGCTCCGTGCAGACGCTTCCAGCAGCATCCGCGG